AGACAGACAGACAGACAGACAGACAGACAGACAGACGGACGGACAGACAGACAGACAGACAGACAGACAGACAGACAGACAGACAGACAGACAGACGGACGGACGGACGGACGGACGGACGGACGGACGGACGGACCGATGGACGGACGGACGGGTAGGAGGGAAGGACCTAAACAGCCCGCGGCACTGTGCGTGGGTGCCCGCCCGGTGGGTGCGAGATGTTGCGGCAGGTGTACGCGCCGCCCACCTCACGGAGGCCCTATCCCTGTCCCCGGGGCCGCTGAGCCACGCCAGAAAGTCGTTATTATATATTTCCGTCGCTTCGCACACATGTCTATATCATCACGATCCTCGTCGCGTACGACACGACGCGAGCGAATATAAACCAGCCTGCCTGGTGGTCGTGTCGCGAACCACCCCCCCGGCGAGCTCGTCACCATGGCCAGCGTGGTTACACTTGCTGCTACAGAAAGACAAAGGAATTCAATTTTTTTCCAAAAAACTACGTTTAATTATTATTTTTTGAATGGCAGACTTATATTGATTCTAAGTAGGTACAAATCAATAATTTTTCTAATTCCTATTAGGTGATACATTTAAAATATTATTTTTATTTAATTCGGATGGGAAGTGTAAGCGCTGCTATCAACTGTCAGCTGTGCCGGGATCGTTAGCTTGTTGAATAGGATTCTTCCTATTTTAGCAGATACCTTTCATCCGTATCGATCCATCAGTAGATGTACTAGTTGTTTTCTCTCAACCATTTCTTTCTCTCGTTTAATTAATTTAAAGAAGGTTTTAATTACAACTCCGTGCTTGGTAAAGCCAAAAACGTGTGTTACGGAAACTACAGATTTTATAGTTGTAAGGACTAATAAGCAAATGGTTTTGACAACGATAGGCGATTTGCTGTCGTCGCAGTGACGATATTCACGCTCGCTCCAAATCAACAACAAAATGCGTTGTGACAACTAAACATTCTTCTCCGTGCGATTGTGTGCAGAGACAAAAAAAAAATCACGGTGAGGGCACTTGCGTTATAGTAAGGGTAGTTCCAATAATAAAGCAAACGATACATTGTTTTTTATATTTCACATACTGTTATTCAAGGAATGTGACGTCACATTCGTTTCAATGTGAAACGTGTCACATTCGTTTGAATATTGTGTCATATTCATTTGAATGTGACATTATGTGAATTGTTGCTCAAATAGCGTCAGACTTAGCCAATTCACGTTTAAACGAATATGACACAACATTTAAACGAACGTGACACGATTCACATTGAAACGAATGTGACGTCACATTCGTTGAATAACAGTGAATCAAATATGAAAGTGCTACTGTGGCTTCGGAATAACCCTCGCCTCTGCTACCCAGCATGCGTTGAGGGTTTCGGCATTGCCAATCATGAGTCTAAATCTGTACTGTGCATACGGTAAGATTGGAACATTCGGAAAACTCCAGTCCACTGGGGCATCATTAATCTCGTAAACTCCCTGTACAGAAAAATCATTACAGACTTCACAGTTGTAATATTCTTGTATTTGAAGTTTGAAGCAGCAACAGTTTTCAGTATCCAAACATAAAATACCAGAAAAATAAGTATATACGTAACAGTATGACGAGATCCGAGATCAGACTTTCAGTCTAAGTACTTACAGCTTTAAACATGCACGCGCCTTTAACTTCTCTCTTCTTCAAAAGCTGCTCGTAAATTCCAGGAGCATTTACTTTAACAGTTTGGCATGCACGGTTGTTAAATTTGAAGACATAGGCGTTTTCCTTCCACTGGTTGTTTGACCGAGTATCCACAATTACTTTCACCTGTTAAATGAAATCGTACGCAATCGATTCTCATTCCTGCATTTTGTTCAACGGGTAAATGTGAAGCTAGAGCACTCTCACTTTATAATGAGCTTGTCGTTTGATAACGAAATATAGATATACGGCAATTGTAGGACGAACTTCACTTTCAGTCAGCGAGTATGCTTGCAATTAAAGTACATTCCTTTAACCCTGCGAAGAATTATCGACCTTTGTAATTCAAAGAATTAGTTCGTATTGCAAAGGAATTCTTTGCTCGCTGCCAAAGTCCTTCCGCGAATCATTTGTTCGTATTCCCAGACTGCATCTCTTCTATCATCTAAAATGCGCCCAATGCGAATACACGAATTAAAATGCGTGTGAATTTCGTACACTTGTAGGTGTGTGAAAAGCCATATTCGTAGACTCAAGGGAGTATAGGTATGAAGTTTCCTTCAAAATTCACGCACACTTGTGCCTTGTACAAATGTTGTACAACGCATGCAAGTGTGCGACATTTACACATGTAGGTGTCCGGTGTGGGACATTATAATTGAGGAGTCATGATGCAGTTCTGCTATCTCGGATTTCAAATTGCAAAGTAGGCGCGCTGCAATGTAGTTTGCAAGCTTCAATAGAACTATTTCTTATAACAATGCTTCAAAATTCTTTGCAAAATTAAAAAAAGTTATAATTGCACAAGTGAGTGTTGTCTTGGTCGTCAACCCCAGCCAGAAATGAAAATTTCTTCGACGTCGATTCGATGTCGATTCGACCTCGACAGCTCGATTTGAGTGCCAAAATTGCGTTTTTCGAGCAACGTCGACGTCGATTCGACGTCGATCGAATTTCATTTCTGGCTGGGAACTCCTTTGCGTGTAACATATGGCTGACTTGCGCACCATTGTACCACTTTGACACTCAAGGGTTCGAATGTGACATACTCTGTTTGCACTATCTTACCCAGCCGCTGTCGTCAAGAGTTCCACTTGTAGCCGTCACATTGCCGGTCACTCGCTGCAACTCCTTTGGTTTCAGAGGGTTAAAGTGAGTCGCACGCAAAAACCATCTCCAGGGAAGCGGCCGGTTGTCGGGTTCACACATGTAGAAGCGCTCCCCGTAAGCAATGTAAGGGCCCTATTCCACACAGAAAGAAGAAATTTGCTTGCTTTCAGGAAAACCGTCACGCATTAAAGGCTGACTTTTGAAAATAACATCAGGGAAGGCCAAATCCTGACATATTGGCCTCCCTAAATGTTATTTGACAGATCTGTCTTCTTTGTGGTCACGGTGAACACAGATAAAGTCAACTGGCGTGCACACGCAAGTGCCCAACACTGCACAACTGCACACTTACTTTAAAGTGACTGGATTTTTGAATACTTGAAAGTGTTCAACGGCAGGGTTGGCCATGAAGCTTTGGACACTTTAAAATGTTCAAATTTACTGTTGAACACTTCGAACTATTCAAATATCCAGTCAAACACTTCAGATGGGCCGCATTTAAAATTGGCATTAAGAAAAGGTATAACCATACTATCACAGAGTTGATAACTTTGCCGTGGATGACGGCCGGGAACATGAGAGCTACAGCCACGAGGAGTGTGAATGCCATGGTCCTTGGGAAGTGCTGAACACTGTTTCAGAAGTACTAAAGGGAACTGGATGGGACAATGTGCCTCGGCCAAGCGGTGACCTGCTCGCGTGCGAACGTAAACAAAAGAGATCAGAAAACAGTACATCAGTGGCGGGATCATATACCGCGGTGATACGCGACACAAAAAGTTTTGCAACAGTGTTTCCGGTGTTGGTCTAGTTGCGGTCTAGACAGCCGCCTCGTTAACTGCCGGTCCCGATAGTGTCTCGCGTGGGATGGAAGAGCGCGTGCGACCTCCACACTGTTAAGAAAAATTGTTGTAAATTTACAACACATTTGATGTAAAGTTTGATAGCAACAAATGTCAAAATGAACTCATTTTGACGCTCATCGTCAAAATCTACGGCGGCTAGTTAGCTAGATTCAGCTCATTCTTCACTTCAAATGAGGGTCATTGATGAGTTTTTGACGGTTAAGTTTTGTGCCGGGTGGACTCGTGAGGCCCGGGTTATAGAAAGTGAGGGCGAGCGGCGCCGGAACTCCGACGTTCTTCTTTTAATGACAAGGTCGATGATATTATCGTGTTATCTTTTCCAGACACGCTTATGCAATGGGAGAGGACGTCGGCCCGACCGACAGGCGAGTGCATGCGAACTCGTTGGCCTCTCCCTCCTGCTCCCCTCCGCACTTTTCCCCCACGTAAAACACAGATTTGCTGGATAGCTGGATAGTAAAACTAGATGTAGAAGCTAACATTTTCGCCGTCCTAAGTACCGGCCAGCCACTACGGGTATGACCTTACCCTCCAGAACTAGAAAGTTAGCTGACCTATAATACTAACACCTGTCACGAATCCAGCAAATACATTAGATTTCTCAGCTAATCCTTTTTTTTTTTTTTTTTTTTTTTT